ACTTGTATTATTATATACAAAAACTGATTAGGAAAAATAATAGGTCTCTTTTCTATTCTACGATAACTAGAATTATATTATTAAGTATATAATTTTATAATTGCTAAAAAGTTTTTTTATTCATTTAATATAATAACCATTTCTAAACTTAACCATGATTATAACAACCATTCTAGTTATTTAACCAGTTGATGTGATGTTTTAACCATATATATATAATTATTATACCACTGAATCAAATTTTACATGACTTGTAAAATTTGTATATAAAATATTATTGTAAAGAAACATATTAATTTTTTGATGCAAATCATAATAAAATTTTATTTTTCTTTAAGTATACTTTCTATAATAAAATCTGTGTTACCTATAATAAATCTTTATATTACTTATTACAATTTTTTTGATAATGATCAATTTCATCACATTTTTTATATTTCATTATTCATGTTTACGAATTCTTCAGCTATATATAATTGGATGAATCTTGTTTAACAATTTGGTTAATATTTGTAAGTTCTTTCAAGGGCTTTTTATTTTTATCAATTTTCCAAAACAAATGATCTAGACAAAAAAAATATATAAAAGAAAGATCAAAACTCAAAATAAATGATTCAGATGAAGAAAATATATAAAAGAGAGATCAAATTTTAAACAAATGATCTAGGTGAAGAAAAAATATAAAAGGAAGATCAAATCCTAAAATATATAAATCAGGTGAAGAAAATGTGTTAAAAGGGTGATCAAATTCCAAAATATATGAATCAGGTAAAGAAAATATATTGAAAGGATGATCAAATCCTAAAATATATAAACTATATGAAAAAATATATAAAAGGTTAGGTCTCCTTTCTCTTAACTTAACGATCTTAAGTTTTTCCTTTTGGGAGAATTTAACATAACTGAAAAGAATAGTTTAATAACCTTCATATTCTAACACTAACCCTAACCTTAATATAAATAGAAAGAATGGTTTAACAATCTCTATACCCTAATACTAATACTGACCCTAACCCTAACCCTAACTTTAAGCTACTCTGAAGCTAAATTCATTATAATCTAATATTGTAATTCAAAGCAAAAAATAAAATACACCTATATCAATGTCTGAAAAGTCATCAATAAAAATCTGCTCAAGTTTATTCATAATGAAATTTATAATTAAAAAGGTATGCGAAGTAAAGATAATAATTAAATTTTTCAAAAAAAATGTTAAGATGAACGAAATAAATAAGAGAGAAAATTTGAGAAAGGATTGATAAGATAGATATTCAGAATTATGTCATTTTAATAGTCTATTTTCATTATATGATTAAACACGTGATTTTTAAAAATTCAAAATTAAAATTTTAAAATTTAAAAATTCAAATTCAAATTTATATAGATAATATTAACCGGTGATTAATAATAGATTTTTCCTAACATATCTAAAACTAACCAAAAAATATTTTATAAGGAAAAGGTATTATAAAAAACATCTTATAATATAGGTTGATTGCTAGAAAAATCAGGTTTCGGGAATTTTTTAGCAAAATTGAGATTATTATTGCATTTTAGTTTTTGATGTTATTAGATTAAAATGTATTAAGCTTTTAATTTTAGTTAAAAATTTCTCAGAACCTGATTTTCCTAGAAATACTTCCATATATTAAAACCTTAGTAAAAAATTAGTGAAATTAAAGTTTAAATGTTTATCAAATCTAAAATGAATTTAAATAGCTATATATAATACTAATCCAATAAAATTTTTTATTATAATATTAATGATACACTTCTGATTAAAAATATATAATTAAAAAAAGTTATTACAACTTTTAAATTTAATGATCAATTTAATTTTTTAATTATAAAAAAAATTTAAAAATTATTTTTAAATAATTTTTTATTTTATTTATAAATATAAATTTTTTATTTATAAAATTAATATTTAGTCAGATTACCATTGCTATCTATTACAGCTTGAATCTTTTATAGTATACTTTCTACTAAATTTTCTAAAATTTCTAGTTCAATTTTATATCATTTTTCCTTTAAAATAATCATTAATTCATTAAGATTATTTGATATAACTTATATTTACAGATCTTTCTTTTTAAAATATTTTACAAATATTTAATTAGTTCTAATACAATACTATTATAACCTTTTTATGATTTACTTCAAATACTAACAATTTTCTTTTTCTAGTATAATTATAAAAATCTTCATTTTATAAAATATATTTTATAGTACTAAAACTTATTAAACTATTAATATCTAATTGAATTCTTTTGTAATTTCATTTAAAGATTATTATCTATCCTTTTTAATAGTTTTTATAAAATATTTAATATTTCTTTCTGTTAATTTAGGTGGTCTGCTAAACCTAAAAATATCAAAAATTTAGTATTCAATTTTATATTTTTCAATAATATTATGAATGATTGACTTAGAATAGTTAAGAATATTTACAATATTTTATTCAATATGACTACCTTTTTAAAGGTTATTTTATCTTACTCAAATTCAAAGAATTCTCAGATTTTAAGCATTTTAAAAAAATATATTTAAATATTAGAAATTCGTAATTATGCAAGAAAATAAATAACTTATTTTTATGCATTAGATCATAAATTATAATTGGTAAAATTATGTTAATTAGTATAACAAAATTACGTAATTCAATACTTTTGATTAGGAAATATATATGCAAATTTAATAATAATAATTTACTATTTATAAATATCATTTTTTTAGTTTTAAAAATTATTGTAAAGAACTTATATAATTACAAAAAATTAAATTCTTTACATTTAAAATTATAAAAATATTATTATTTATTATTTTATAATTATAATTATTAAATAAAATTTAATGTTTAAAAATTTTTTTATAAATATTTGAATAATTTTTTGAAATAAAATTATTTATCAAAATAGTTATAAAAAATAATAAAAATACATTAAAAGTAAGAATAACAAAAAAATTACAAAGATATTGGTATGTTTAAAAAAAATTAAAAATCATTATATTTTATAAAAATAATGAATTTAACATATGTAAAATATATAATAGTTTAATATTCAACTAAAAAAAATTAAAAAATTAGATAAATAAAAAAAAGATTTAATTAATGTATCTTCAAGAATACTTAAATTACATAAAGAGAATTACTTAAATATTTGTAATTAAAAAATATATTATTTAATTAAATTATAAAATAACAGTAATTATAAAATCTTATTACATAATCATTAATAACTACAAAAGCATTATTACAAAATACAGATTTTCAAAACTTATCAGATATACAAATTTTTAAATTTTTAAATAAATAGTTTGATAGGTTTTTAAATTAGTATAATTTATTAATTAAATGTTATACAATTATCATATAATATTTATCTAAAAATCTAAAAAAAAATATAATTTTTTAAATTATATTTTAAATAAATATAATCAATATAATTATTCTTTACATTTAATTGAAAATATATATAAAATTTCTTTTACTTTTGATATATCCAATCCAATTCAATAATAATTGAAAAATGTAATGCTTATACAGTTAGTATTAGAACTATAAGTAATAAAAAATTTTATTGTAATTTTAGATGTATAGTTGATAGAACAAAATTATCTTGTGTTATTATTTTCAAATTAAAAATATACTTTAAGAAATTTTCTTGAAAGTATATTGATTCATGCAAATGAAAAAGTTTAAGTTAATGAAAATAAAATGCTATAGTAAATTGAAAATATTTAAACTAAATAATTTTTATTAAATAATTGCATTTTCTTTTAATTTTTGATTCATTTCATACATATATGGGAGATGATCAGTAGAAAAGAAGGAAATCTACTTTTTAGTCAAAAATATTTTTATTGGTTTACTCTGCTGATCATGATCATGTGAACAAAACTAGTTTAATAACTAAATTTGTAGATTTTCTCCTTTTCTATTGACTACCTCCTATATAGTTAATTCAGTTAAAAATTAACTTACTATAAAAATATAAATATACAATCAACTCTTATTATAATAAACTCTATATCCTAGACTTCAACTTCGCTATAAGGTAATAATGAAGATTTTAAAAGATTTGATTAGTCAATTTATTATAACAAAAGTATTTTTATTATATTTATTTAAAAAATTCATTATATCAAGAATTTGCTATATCAAGAGTTGACTGTAGTAGTTATTTTTGATAGCTTAATATCAAAATTACAACTATTAAATATTATAATTAATAAGAGTTTTAAATTTAAAGTATAGATAATTTTTATTTTATTTTATATTTTACTTATACTAATAATATTAATTTAAAAAGTCTATATACTATATAATCAATGAATGTTAGAAGAAATTTATGAAACTACATCCTTAAAAGATCATTATATTCTAATTAACTGAATGAATAAAAATTATATAGGAATCTCTTGATTCAAATTTAATTAAAAATTTATTAAAATATCTATTATAAAGCATTTAAATTTAGCATAATAAATTTAATTTTTATTAGTATACTTAGTATTTTAATTATAATAGTTTAATTAAAATAAAAATTTTAAAAAAAAATTAGTAATAATAAAAATGATCTGAATATTTTATATTATATTATATATTATACTATTATAATATTTGATAAGAAAAATATTATAAAGAATATGTCAATTATGTTAAACATATCTAATATATTAAATATATTTGATATATTAGATAAATCTAACATATATTATATATTAGATTTATATTAAAATATATATAAAGGGAACTAAATTCATGATAAGAAAATAACTATCATTTGTTAGATACAACTTAATTAGTTCACTTTTAGAATATGTATAATCTTTAATCAGTAATATTCCCTAGAAGATTGGAAACACATTGTACTTTCAATCCTTCCAATTCTAATGCTACTTCCAATTCCAATAAAAATTTATTGGAAGATTAAAAGCACTTTATCATATGATACTTTTTTTATTCAATAATATTCAATTATAAACTTTATTAAACTTTATTCATTTAATGCTATAATTAAATAATCAGAAGCATTGAGAGAAGTACTAAATAAATTTTTAAGAACCCATTTTGCCTTTTTGTCTATTGCTAGATGTATATATTCACTCAAAAGATCACCTTGCATGCTATTATTTGAATTATCTCTTAATGCTTCTTCTTCTCTTTATGCTAATTCTTCTTCTAATAATATTTCTTCCCATTGTCACTGTGGAATTCTTCAACTCAGAGTAGTCACGTTATCAAGTCTCTACTCAAAGTTTCTAGCTACAGCTTACTGCGGTTAAGACGCTAGGATTTGTCTAACTCTTAACTTTACCAAATTTATGCGTTAGACTTAAACAAATCTATCAAATATGAAGACTTGAAAGACGAGATTATGAACAATTTAATTAAAGAATTTAGATGACGAACTCAATTACAAATAATGTGTAAGAATCATGTCAAACTATATGAAGACACAAAGAGGCAGAAAGATATAAGTTTTGAATAATTCCTTTATTAATATTGAAACTCAATTGTTAATCCGTAA